TTACTGGAATATTATAATGTGCCAAAAACTCGTTATAGGTAAAGAGAGAACCATTTACAATAAATAACTGATCCACCAATGTGATACCATTTTCAAACCAATGTTTCAGAAAAAGTGATTTGCATTGATATAAGATGTCCTTATTGTTCCATATATACTTATGTGGTGAAAAGTTATGTTTGAAAATCAAGGACCATGATAAAAAGGCCTGGCGATGAAATTCAGATAGTTTCACTGGTATCGTTTGCCTTGCCGTTCTTTTTTCTTTTTTTTCCGCTGTTATCGCAATCAGGAGACAAGACATATGTTGTTACCTTACCTATGTTTCTACGAAAACCGTAAAAGTAAAGTAAAAAAATAATAATAATAATTGAAATCACCTCATAGTTAATATGAATTGTGTGTATAATAATTATACATAGATTTAGATTAACTATCAGTTCAGAACACTGAGAAAACTTTGATAAATATAATTATCAGAAAATTAGCTTTTCTACCTTTTTCTACTTAACTTTTTTTGGAATATATATATATATATATAATTAATCAAGTACATATTTAATTCATACAAAGTTATAAAAGTGCATGTATATATATATAAAAATAGGTTGAATTATATTATAGATGAACTATGTCACAGCTTTGAAACGTGTCACAACAGCTATTATTTTGCAGTCTCCAGCATTAAATGCTGAAAGCAATCTACAACATGACCTCAGGTTGTGTATATATAAGCATTCCTCCAGCATGTTCTAACACACATGGAGTAGGGAATATTAGAGCATCTGTTCAGCTGTGCATGATAACGTCCTTGGAATGGAATCAAATGCTGACTCAAGCTGAAACTCACTTGAGACTGTATGCTGTTGATTCACACGAATCAGAGAACAGTTCAAACACGGTCCCATCTTGCAGGCAGAATCCTCAACCTCAAGGCTTACCAACTGGTTCCTACTGCGGGTTTCTTGTTTTCCTAATTTAGCCCCAAAACTCTTGAACCCACCCAACTGAAGTGGGGTGGAATTTCCCAATGCTAGTAAACAACTGTAAAACAGTCTCTGATTTAAAAGCCCCTATCGTGACTGCCAAGTTTCCTGTGGAGATTGCGATACACCACTGCGGAGTTGAACCAAAACCCATTTCTGAGTCACTCTGAGCCCGCAAGACTTTGACTTTGTATTTCCCAAGAGACACTCCGCGACTATCTATGTTTATTCAAACATCATTTTGGCTATTCTTCTCTGTATTATAGCTGTAGCACCATCTCTTTTTTTTCAGGGAACTTGGAAGAGGGGCAGGATATATTGAATTAAACTTCAACAATACCAGACGAACAGGAAAGAAGCGTAGGCCGAGCGGTCCTGGGGAATATGGGGAGGAAGTTCAAATCCAACTCTTTCTTTTTGGCTTGCAGTCCCTTGAGATTACAGCAGCCACTGCTGCAGGCATGTGCAGACCACAATGGCACTTTCAAAGATTAAAAAAACTGTCTTAGCAGTCGTCCTCAAATACTAACTTTGGAAAATTTGCTAGTTTACACTGAAATAATACTAAATTACAATTTGGTTAATAAATGAATAAGATTCACTTTATTGTCAATCAGGAGAGAAAACTAAATATTGCTTCACAGGCATGCAACATTGGAAACCTCAACAGCACTTACAAAGCACAGAGAATGTAGCAATAAAAACATATTACAAATCAAGTTGTAAGAAGTTGTGAGACCAGACTCAGATTTAGATTTTCTATCAAATTAAATAAAATATATAAATTATTTTAAAAGTAACTGGTACTAGTGCAAGAAAAGTAGATTTTCTGAATAGAATAGAATAGTGATAGAATTTGTGAGATAGAACTTTGATGAATACACTTTGATAAATATAATAAAATACAATATTAAGTAATTGGGTGGAAGTTGTGAGACCAAACTTTAAAAAATATAAATGATGCATCAAAAAATTAGCTTTTCAAATTTGAATACACTTATGTTCTTTATGAAAGTTTAAAAAGAAAGTAGGGCACATCTTGTTGTTCTCACAAAGCTTTTTGTGCTGACATACGCACAGTGATATGAAAGGGATTAAAAGGTTTTGGATAAATACCAGGTTACTGAATTTGTGCAATAAAGTTTCTTGAAATGGAATTAATGAGGACCAATGCATAGAAGAGGCTTTCGCTAAAAATAAACAGTCCATGTCTCGGTTCTCGGTTTCCTGGCTGTAGGTCTGACGTCGTGTTAAAGCAAAGCAGAGGGGACGTGCAACTCCAGCCAACTTTCGGCAGGATCAAGCCTGAGACAAGAGCCGCCCCCTCAGCTCCCCCTATCCTCTCTCATAATCAACAGGAAAGACGGGGCCAGAGCTCTGAGAGAGCTGGGAGGGAAGAGACGAAGAAAAAAACACCACAGAAGAAAACACACTAGATATCCAACAATCTTCCCACACAGGACAAAATGGAAAAGAAAATCAGTCCTCGAGTGTCCAAGAGCTCTGCGCAGCGCCTAAGCAGGGATCTCACCTGCTCCATCTGCCTGGACCTGTTCAAGCGCCCGGTTTCCTTGCCGTGCGACCACACTTTCTGCGAGGCCTGCATTATGAGTTACTGGAGCGGTCCTCGTGGAAAAGGCCAGGGTGGATCGGGTTCCTGTCCTCAGTGCCGGAAAGTCTTTCCAGGCCATAGCTACAGACCCAACCGCATCGTGGCCAACATCGTGGAGAGCTACTGCCAGGGGATCGAGGAAAGTGGGGATCGGCTGACCAGGTTATCAGACACGTTTCCTCCAACCCCACTTTGCAGTCGACACAGAGAAGAGCTGAAGCTGTATTGTGAGGAAGACCAGGAGCTGGTGTGTCTGGTGTGTGGGATCTCTCAGGATCACCGGGCTCACACGCTGGTATGCCTGCAAGATGCAGAGCAGAGATATAGGGTAAGAATCAAAGACATGTTTTCTAACTTCCTCAGCTCAGCTGAAAGCTCACGTTGTTTGTGTTGTACAGGCTTCTCTAACCACTTCAGCAAATGGTCTTCAAAAAGAGCTCAACACTGCTCTAGAGTGTGAGAGAGAGACTGAAGAGGAGGTGAAGAAACTGAAGGTAAGAAGAAATTAAACCTCATGCATACTCTCCAATACCTCTTAACTGGAAAAGCATTGGAAAAGATTCCTGATCCTAACCTGACTAACACCTAATCATCTAAATTCTTGATGCTTTCCAGTAGGTATAATAACTTGTAGGTTCAAATCAACATGAATTCAAAGTTATGTTCTTAAAAGTATAGTTCACCCACAAATGAAAAGTCTGTCATCATTTAGCCTCTTAAAAATAAAGGTTCCAGAAGAATGTTTTTGCAGTGATGCAGAACCGTTTTGGGTTCCTCAAAGAACCTTTCAGTGAACAGTTCTTAAAAGAACCATTCTTTTATTTGTGTGAAAAACATTTTAATAATCTAGTAACAATCTAGAGAAACTTTTTTAGAACCTTTTGTGCAATGAAAGATTCCATGCAAGTTAAAGGTTTTTCATGGAACCATAGATGCCAATAAAGAACCATTATTTAGAGTGTGCTCACCTTCATGTTGTTCCAAACACAAAATAAAATATTTTGTATAATTTTTCAACTGTTTTCGTCCATACATTGATGTATGGTTTGTTAGGATAGGACAATATTTGGCCGAGATACAACTATTTGAAAATCTGGAATCTGAGGGTGCAAAAAAATCTAAATACTGAGAAAATCGCCGAAAAAGTCGAAAGTTCTTAGCCATGCATATTACTAATCAAAAATTAAGTTTTAATATATTTACAGTAGGAAATGTACAAAATATTGTCATGGAACATGATCTTTAGTTAATATCCTAATGATTTTTGGCATAAAAGAAAAATCAATAATTTTGACCCATATAATGTATTTTTGGCGATTGCTACAAATATACCCCAGCGACTTAAGACTGCTTTTGTGCTCCAGGGTCACAATTGTCAAATGCATGTTGTCTTCCACCTCTGAGGCAAAAATCACCTCAAATTCTCTTGTTTTTCAACCTAGGACCACACTGCAGATCTGAAGCAGAGAATCGAGGCACAGTTCAGCGAGCTTCATCAGTTCCTGTACCAGGAAGAGAAACTCCTGCAGGTCAAGCTCAAGACAGAGGAACGGCGAGAGCTGATAAGGCTGGATGAGCACAAGGCCCTACTCAGTGTGGAGATATCACGCCTGCGCAGAGCTATGAACGACATCGAGGACAAACTCAGTGAAAAGGATCCTCACACACTACTCAGGGTGAGTGCAAAGCCAGACGTCACACTGACAGATATCTGCAGAACCAAAAGACATTTATTTTCATTGGGAGGTGGTGATTTGAGGCGGAACTGGAGTGTCAGATTGCTGACAATGGGTGTGCAGACAGTGACGCTTGTGTAATCCGGCACCAGATACAGTTGGATACTGCAGTAGAGAAGGAACTTGCCTATTTACAGTCAAGTGCACGAGACTTGCTGACCTCAAGTGATATACTGTCAGTGGGAACGACCCTTTAAAGAAAGATGAGATGCAATGTAATGTTGTATATAATATATTCATACAAATGATACTAAATAATATTTTTAAGTAATGTTAAAACATGTATTAATGATGTTAAAATTTAAGATCTGAAAAGAAAATATATTTTTTAATAATATATCTTAATCATTTCAATACTTAACTGCTGACAGAAAGCTCTGTGGGATATCACTTGGGTCAACACAGGATGCAGTGTAATTATCTCAGCTTTGCAATGGGAAGGTAATGCCATTAGTGCAGCACTAGGGGATTTTCCAGTTGTGGATGAAAAAAAAGAGGTGTAGCTCAGTTTCAAACACTGATCTCATGTGGAAAACGTCTGTCCCTACCTCTCGAACTGAGCCAATTTCTTTTTTGCAGAGTATAAAGGGCCTGCTTCAAAGGTGAGAGACCTCTATGGATCTGTTACATTTAAAATTTTCACTAATATTTTCATGAGGAAGTTGAATTGTTTTTATTTCTGGGCTTGTGTTGTTTCAAGTAGGCAGCCACCGAAGTTTGAGAAGCCAGCACTGACGCCCCCCAGACTGTGTGAGGGTCGCTTCGCTGGGCCCCTGCAGTACAGAGTGTGGAAGTCACTGAAGCTAAGCATCTATCCAGGTTTGAGAATGATCCTAAATAAAAATAAAAAAAATGTTCACGTTGAATCATGCTGTGTAAATGCATAATAAAATTCCAAAGAATAACTCAATCGAAAATTAAAATTTGCTGAAAATTGACATGCCTTCAGGCCATCCAAGATGTAGTTTGTTTCTTCATCAGAACAGGTTTGGAGAAATTTAGCATTCCATCACTTGCTCACCAATGGATCCTCTGAGTCTGCAGTGAATGGGTGCCATCAGAATGAGAGTCCAAACAGTTGATAAAAACATTACAATAATCCACAAGTAATCCACACCACTCCAGTCCATCAGTTAACATTTTATGACGCGAACATCTGCATGTTTGTAAGAAACAAATCCATCATTAAGATATTTTGAACTTTAAACTGTCACTTCTGGCCAAAATACCAGACCATAATCCAAAATAATGAAAGCAATATTATGGCAATATTATGGATAATAGATTCATATTTTAGCCAGAAGTTGGTTTGAAGTTAGAAATGTATTAATGATGTATTTCTTTTTTCTTCCAAACATGCAGATTTTTGCTTCACAAGACATGAATTCATAGCCTGGAATTGTGTGGATTACTTGTGGATCATTATGATCTTTTTTATCAGCTGTTTGAACTGATGGCACCCAAACTCATCTGCATTTTGTACGACTTCTAGGATGCATGAACTAACTCTTCTCTGCAACATTGTTCCCTTTCTAGTTCCCTCAGCCATCACATTTAACTCCAAAACAGCCAACCCCTGGCTCAGTCTTACATCTTCGCTCACCTGTGTGCGCTACCAGACCTTCAACACCACGGTGCAGGACAATCCACAGCGATTCAATGCCGCGCTGTCTCTCTTGGGCAGTCAAGAGTTCACTAAAGGACGCCACTACTGGGAGGTGGAGGTGTACAGCAGCACCGTGTGGACCGTGGGAGTCGCTCGTGAATCCGTCACGAGAAAAGGTGTCATCAATACCATGCCTGCCAATGGCTTCTGGACGCTCTCACTATCATATGGAGTTCAGTATATGGCCGGGACATCTCCGCCAACATTGCTGTCTTTGGAAGAGCCACTGGCGAGGATCGGCGTGTATCTGGACTACAAAAGAGGCCTGGTGTCCTTCTACAATGCCGAGAGCATGACACACCTCTACACCTTCAAGGACACCTTCACCGAGACCCTCTACCCTTATTTTAACCTCGGCTTCCTGGATAAAGTGCATGAAAATGAGCCTCTTAAAGTGTTCCTACCTAAAATCTGAAATTTTCTTTCATAATATTAATATTTCTTTTTTTATATAAACACTAGGCTGGACCTGGATATTTTAAGTTAAGCCTTTTTAGACATTTGTTTAAAGGTAAAGCAATTAATGAGACTTGCAAAAAATAAAATAGCTAATACAAATAAATAAGTAAATATATAACATCTTAACATTCCAATGGGTTAGTGGAGGCACATGGAACTTGGAATATGAAACCAAGTCATTAAAAACAGTTTGAAACCATGGCTTATGACCCTTCCACCACGTTAAAGTTACCAAGCATCAGTCCAGGCAGATATCATATATTCTACATGTTTCTGTGATATTCCTAGGTTTTATAAACAAAGGCTGGTCAGCATGGTCGTAACTACACCTTTGTAAAAGCAAAAAGCATTTTTTTCAATTGACAGCCATTCAAAATTGGCTGTGTATTTTAAGCTACATATAATCAAAAGTATTTCAGTATATTACAGTAAATATTTAGCCAATGACTGATTCTTTTTAGATTATCTTAAAAGCGTTAAAATAGACTTATCTCTACCTCTATCTGCTGCCTCTGACATCACAGTTTATGCATGTTCTTGTGCCATCAGCCAATCAACAGAGTTATTAGTGAGCAAAGATGGACACAAGCATACTTCCACTGCCACTGAGATGAATGGGAATGCTAATATATATACACTACAGACCTCACTGCTGAGCAAAAAAATAAATAAAGTTCAGGTAAATGGCATCTTACACTTGCAGCAGCTTCAAACTAGGCTTCTGTGCAAAAAGAAACACGGTTCTCATTCCAAACCTGCGGAAAAAGAGAAAGTATACAAATGTAAAACACAAGAAACCCCATTAGGCTACAGTCAAAGGATAATGGGCATTCTAGCATAGTCTAAAATCTACAAGCCTAGTGATGTTATATCATTTTTTATACAAACATGTACACAATGAAAACCATTATTTAAAAAAACACCAACAAAATGGTTTGTCTCTTTTTTTTACTATCTGGTAAAGATTTAACAAAATCTTTCCCTCCTCAAGACTTCATAAGGTCTATGCAGTTACCATCACTAACCACAAGGAGGTGCAATTGCACTCTTGATGCGCTCTGAGAGCCCACACGGAAAGACAGAGAACTACCCACACTGACTGACTTGAATCAGCGTCTAGTTTTCTAGGAGCTGCAGAATAGGCTAATTAGACATTAGACCCACGCCAAATCTCGTGTATTCCACCTTTATAATGATTAGACACTTAACCAACACGTGAGTAAATGAAGTCATTTAGGAAACTTACACCGCACAATGAGTAACTCTGATCTGACTGTATTTTGCCCTGTAGGGTCTCGGCCATATTGAAGGTTATGAATGTAGTCATAAAAAACCCTGCAATTACAGAGTGAATAACTCGAAGTGTGGCGCACGGCTTTAAATAAGCCATGGACGTAAGCTGCACGACTTGAAAGGATCGAAAAAACTTTTAACAAAAATGTTAACAACGAATAGTTTCTAGCCATGTTAAAATATATGGTAAGACGTTAGCCTAGTTTTGTAAGTATCACTGCGCAGCACACGTTTACGTTAGGTTATTTACGTGTGAGGGATTATATCTTCCGGCGGAAGGATTTTATTTGATTTGAATGATAAAATGAAGCACAGTTCAACATTTTGTCCTTGATATTTTGTTATGTATTAATTGTCCCATAAAACCAATAACTTCACTTGAGGCAGTTATACTGAGCCTGGTTAAGACTCCTGACAAGCTGAAAAGTGTCCAAACCTCCTTTAAACTAACCAACAGACCAACTTGACCAAAACTAGGAGACCAGAAAAGATGAACAAATCATGAAGACAAACAAACTGAGCTGTTTTTAGCCAGCTTGGCCCACGTTGAACTATAGTTCAAGGCTTCAGGATTACCATAATAAACATTATACAAGTAGTTTCAAAAGACCATGATTTCTGATACATTTTGTTCTGTGTGCTCATATACCACTCATGATGATCCTAGCTCAATTTATACATCTTAATTTTATACACAAAGTCAAAAAAGCAATAAAAAAAACAATGTCATCTCAAATGATGTTTATTAGTCGCATTAACATTTTTGTCTTACAGTTCATTGCATCAGGTACACAATATAATTTAAGTCTAACAGTCTGAATAATCATGTACAACTCTCATGTAAGAAATAGTGCTAGAATTGCTTTTTACAAAAGATATAATCCTTATAATTATCATTGAATGATATTGCCAAACTCAATTACCACCAACCTAGATGTGTGGCAATAAAGAATTATGATTTGTGAATTTTATTATTTAATTTTATAATAAAAGAATCACCTAAAAGTCTTTTAGATTCTAGCCTTTGAGGAACCGAAGAGATATCTGGGAGGCAAAAGTCCATCAGGGACATTTTGTATCTAATTCATCCTTTCTTGTTGGCTTGGAGTCAACAAAGCTCTTCATACTGATAATATCTGCCACTCAGATTTTCCATTTCCTAAAGAGGTTTCAATGGATCCTTTGAAGTACAACAGGGCAAACTATATTGCCATATCCCTACATCAAGCTTGCCCTCTTCAGCTTTTTGAAAGGGTCTGGTACCGCTAGGTTTTCTTCATTGCCGGGGGGGTGGCATCACTAGCACAGGTGCACAGGAGGTATCAGAGGCCCCTGGCTGCTATGTTCTCCAAAACTCTGCCGTCATGAAGAACTCACTTACTAGTGTGCAAGGTGTCCTGGAACTTGGTGCTTGTGTACCGAACCTGGAAACCTTTCTTGTTGATGGTGTCATCCGAGTGAAATTTGATGACAATGGCATCACCAGCTGAGTAGATCTCCTCTGGCGGCTATAAATGATCAAATTATTGAGATATATAAATCTTTGCACTGTAAAATGTATAGACATTTTTAAGCATGATGATTGCTTATGTTGGTTTAGCAGAGATCTTAAGTTCTGGCTTTACCCCGGACCCACAGTAGCGTCCCAGCCTGGGTGCTTTGACATCAGTGCCATCAAACAGCTCTACGTAATCATAGCCACAGTCAGCTTCCTCCTCAATCTCAAAGGTGTGGAAGATGAGCTCCACCCCATAGCCCTTTTCTGCTGAGATCACCCATTGGCAGTCTGAAGCTCCGGGATAGTTGTTGTCACCAAACTGAGCGTGGGAATACAGATCATTGGTCTTTATCTCCGCCTTCAGACTACTGCCACACTCTGAAAATGAGTGATTATTGTTAACTGAAATCAAACGTTCATTATGGAGAACCTCAGGACTTCTGAGAGAAAGAAATACCTGCTGAATGAGAGGCCTTAAAACCCCTCTTCTGTACCGAGTTATCAGAGAAGAACCGCAGGAACATGCTATTGCCACTGGAAATGACAGGCGATGGCTTTTTACTCCCACAAAAGCGACCAAAACTGGTCGCTCTGCCATTTGGGCCATCATATATCTCCAAGTGGTCGTAAGCGCACTCCTGATGAGCCTCCATGTCAATCTCGTCAATAGCCTATGGGAGAGAATAAAATTTGAGCTGGCGGAATGGTTTTAACCATTCCCTTGGTTACCAGAGTATACTGTATCTTTAACCATTTATTTTATCTGGCTGAATGATGCAAGCACCAGTTTAATGTGGTGGCCTGGGGTGGTGGATAGGGTCCATGTGCAGGCCTTCTTGCTGGGGTATTTATCCGGCCAGTTTGGACTTGTAATAATACCAGAAACACTGCTAATGGCTTGATCGCAGCCCACTGAAAGCACAAAACCGGGACATAAATGATTGTTGGGAATGCAGAATTAGGGAATGGATGCATAATATTTATCTGGACATTAGAGTCAATAGAGGGACAGACACCTCCCAGTTTTCATTAACCAATGTTTTTATGGGTTTGGAACAACATGTGGGTGAGTAAATGACGACATTTACAAATTTTTGGGTGAACTATTCCTTTAAGAGGTAAATGTGACTTCAAGTTCAGGTTTAAAGAGTTTACAAAAAGCAAAAGGAAGTGTTTTCAGGGCAGCCTTATAGCTATAACTAAACAAAAACATTCACCTCTGAATCAGTATCTATATGACTTCAAAAAGAATACAGAGCTTTGAAGCGCTTAATTTAGCCATTTTGTATGTTACAAAGGAAATGAACACCTTCACAACCTCAGGAAACTCCACTGTATTTTAGATTTTCCCTGCCTTTCTAATCAGTTTATTTCACACAATACAAATATTTTCCAATACTAGAATGATTGGGAATGTGACGTCAAGACAAACCTTCTTTGCAATCGTGTTTATTGCTGTGCAACACAAAGCCGCTGTGACACTCACAGCTGTAGCTCCCATATGTGTTCACACACTCATGCTGGCAACCTCCATTCTCCCTAGAACACTCATCCATGTCTGCCAGAGAAAAAGAGGAAGTACACTATTATATAGTCTGTTGATGGACACAATACGCCCAACTGCATATAGAACAGTGAAACAAAGAGTCTACAACATTCAAGCATCCTATTAAAGGAAACTTCACAGTTCTGCACCCACAGACTGTGATTTTTTAGCTTAGCTACTAGCTGAAGGACAGGCTGACATTACTTTCGGTAGTTACTTGTATTGAACCCGGGATTTTTTTCTTTGAAACTGTCTGAAAAAAAGTCAAGGCTGTCTGAAATTTATTTATATTGTTCAACGGCAAGTTGAAAATGATAACAGGTCATTCTCATGCTCACCAGAAAAGAACTGAGCTTTGAAGCCTCTTTTAGACACAGTGTTGTCAGATTTGAACTCAACACGCATACTATTGAGTTGGGATGTGATCGCCTCTGGTTTCTCAGTGCCACAAAATTTCCCATGAAGCTTTGCGTCAGTGGACAAGCTACTGTGTACCTCAACGTAATCATATTTACAAACCTGTGAACAGACAGACAACAACAAATGAATAGACTTCATATGAATTTACTGCGCATTGCATTGTCATTGCGGTCAAAAGATAATTTGGTTTTGGCAACAAGTCACAAAATCTCCAACATAGTCAACTTACATCGTTCCCCTCTATCTCAAAAACATCGAAAAGCAGAGTGATGCGGTACTGCACCGGGGCAATGAGCTGCCACACACAGTTCTTGTTGGGTGGGTATTCCTGCGGCCATCCTGGACTAGTGAAAGAGCTATTGAGTTTGGAGATGAATCCACCACAGGCAGCTGCTGGGATCAGATGGTAGAACCATTATTATATTTGCTTGACTGAGCAACAAGCAAGCAAAGAGACAAACATGACAGATATTTTCCAGCTTTCAGCAACTATAATCTTTTCCACTGTCAGAAACATCAAAGCTGGTTACAAATCTAAAGAAAACTGAATGCAAGCATCATAGCCAACCAATCAGTAAACACTTAAAGGGTTAGTTCACCCAAAAATGTATTCATTAATTACTCACCCTCATGTAATTTCAAACCCGTAAGACCTTCGTTCATCTTCGGAACACAAATTAAGATATTTTTGATGGAATCTGAGAGCTGTCTGACCCTGCATAGACAGCAATGCAACTGAAATGTCCCCATGTCCAGAAACGTAGCAAGGAGATCGGTAAAAGAATCTATGTGACATCAGTGGTTCATGCGCAATTATACGAAGCTACGAGAATACTTTTTGTGCACAAAAGAAAAACAGCATATGCTGTTTACGTTCAGCGGATATTCTCCAAAATGGCGCTACAGGGTGACGCGGAGGAGACGAATGGTTGAATAAAGTCGTTATTTTTTTTCTTTTGATCAAAAA